TTGCTGTCTTTTCTCACCCTATGCAAGGGAATCCCTGGGTTAGATAATAGCAAGTGACTTCCCAGTAAGCACACATCTGAGCAATCCAGTCGGGTCACGGGTGTAAAATTAATGTTGCAGAAAAAGAAGTCTTAGAGGCTGGTTGTGGGTTTATTTGTTTGTTTCTCTTTCCCTTTGCTCTCTGCATGTGCTGTGCTGGGGTGTTTATTTCTTATTTATTTTCCTGGTTTCTCAGATTTGTGCTGGTCTCTGTGTTTTCTCTGAAGAAACAGCACAGATATGCTTTGTGCACCTTAATGTCCCAGCATGGGTAATAATAAATAATCCTAGTGTAACATACTGATGAGTAAGTGCTTACATACAGAGTAATTGCTACTTTGCCTTCTGAGAGGATCTGAGGATCTTGCAGTGCTTTGCACACATTCATTAATGAATGGGGCCTCGCAATGTCGCTGTGAAGTTGGTATCATCCCCCATCTTACAGATGGGGAAACCGAGGCACAGCATGTTTAAATGACTTTGTTCAGGATCACACAGAGAGACGGTGGAAGAGCCAGAAGTAGAATCCAGGAGTCCTGACTCCTAAACTGATCAATATCCACCAACCCATCTCTTCTTGAGAAGGAATGGTCCATCACCTGTTATTAAATGTGCGTGCAGTACAGTTATATAATCTCAAATACGCATAACTTTTAAACCTAAAAATTCCTCTTTCAATGTATTGCTTAAAATCATATCCTGACCCCCCAACTCTCACTACAGCTCCTTAGCAACACTGAGATTTCATAGACATGGAAGATGAAGCCTTGAACTTTCTCACAGGTACAAGAAAAGAGACCTTCGGCTAAAAAGGCAAAGCCTCCAATTATTTTAGATTAGCCCATCCAGTTATATTTAGCCAGGAGCCAGATACACTATGTAAAATTCAGCAGTCTTCCCACAACATTAGCCTAATAATGCCATTTACCAAGAACATCATTCCCTGACGCCTAGTCCTAGCTTAGCCACGCTGCTCCACCAATGGGTCTCCGGGTTGGCTCATTCCACAAGGCCCACTGGAGGCTGGTAGTCAGAGGCATTCGTTCTCCATGTTAATTCACTCTGGCCTTCCTCCCCATCGTCTTGCTCCACCAGCAGGCCCAGATATTGATTATTTCTTCTTCTCTGTATTACAGTAGAATTCAGAGACCGCAGTCAAGGTCAGGGGACCATTGTGCTAGGTGCGGTGCTCAAAAGTGGCGAGTGATTTTTGGTGCCCAGCTGGAGACACCTTGCCAGAATCTAGTTTTCGGAGGGAGGATGCTGTGATGGGGTGTCCACCCCACACAAGGCGTGGAGTGGCTGATGGGGCCAATTAACTGCCCAGGCTGAATCTGGGGAAGGAGACAGGGAGCAGGGATTTAATTAGAAGAGGCTCATCTGGGCAGAAACAGGCAGGGCCTATATAAGCCAGGAAGCTAGCAGCAGAGGAGGTGGCAGAGAAGGAGCCTGTAGTCACACCCTGGGAGAAGGAAGGGAAGTCTGGGGCTAGAGGCGAGTAGCCTACAGTTACTCCGGGGCAAATACAGACAAGGGGGAGAGCCAGAGAGAGAGGCAAGGCTCAGAGGAAAAGCAGCAAGGCATGGGGTAAGTCAGACCTTTGCTGCTGATGAGAGGACCCCTGAGCCGGGACCTGGAGTAGAGGGTGGGTCTGGGTCCCCCTACCAGCCACTGGAGGAGTGGCATGGTCAGAGCAGTAAAGAGAAGACTGCCATTTTGAATAGAGGGAATTGGATATACTCCCCTGGAAAGAAAATGGTGGTGATCTGGCTGAAGGGCTGAGTCACAAAGAGGAAGCCCCTTTAGTGGCAGATGGTGAGAGGATGACAGGAGAGATGCTGCCGGAGGAGGGCACAAGCCCTAGCCAGAGCTGATCCCCAGAATGGCCAGGAGGAGGTGCCACTAGTGGTGGGTGCACCCCATGACAGACGCTTGGACTTTCTGAAGAACCAGCCCCTTTCAATGTCTCAGTCAATGGGCCTACCACGGGTGAGCTCTAGGACAGTCACAAGAGCCCAGAGATTTTTGTGCAGACTGCGGGCCAGATACAGGGGCTCCTCTGGATTGGAAGCGATTGTTGTATCTCCTTGCCCAGGCAGAGCTGGAGGCGGGGGATTTCAACTGCCCCGTTTATCTACTTAGTTATGATATCTTCTGAGACAGCCTCTCAGGGCCCATGGCTGCATCTCTGCCATTGTTTCACTCCAGCTGTGGAGCGCTAACCTATCACACTGGGTTTGTTTTTTCCCCCCAAACCCAAACAAGTGTGACTTTCTTGCTCTTCAGTTTGCTGCTGGGGAATGTTCCCGGCTGGGAAAGCAGTGTTAGGAAGCGGGAGGAGAGTCTGAATGGTTGCTGGGATATTAAACACAACTGAGGGAAATAAAACGAACAGCTGCATTGAAACAAATTAAAAGCAGAAAATTCTGTGGAAAGGGAGACTTTGCCAGGCGCTGAAGTGCCACGGCAGGGCCACCAACCTCTTTATTACTTCAGACTGCTCAGCTGTGTGTCATGAGCTCTACACTGCTAGGAGCTACTAGAGATCCTCCTATAGGGGTGGTAGAAGCTGGGGCAGGAGCATGTGAGTTCTGTCCCCTCTGCTGTGATGAGATCCTATGTGGAGAAGTCGTGTAGCAAGCACAGTGATGACGGCAAAGACCTAGGAGACGTTGTCTCTCTCTCTCTCACACACACTCTGTCCCTCCTTGGCTTTTGCTCTGAGGTCTCTGTTTTCTCTCTGAAGAAGGCAGGGGTTCTAGACGGCGGAGGAGTGGGTGAGAATGTCACACCCCGACGGCCCCCTCCCTCAAGGAGTCCCCTGGGAAGGCAGATCAGCATTGTATATTGCTAATGCTGTTGCTCGCATCACAAAGCATTTTGGGGAGGGTCAGAGGTGTATGAGTGGGGAGTGGAAGTTTCCTTTGCAGGTACGAGAGGCTGAGGGTGGGGAGAGAAAGAAGAAAGCAGAGAATGGGTTAATTCAACACTGCAGCTAGCAAGCTTAGTCCAAAGATAAGAAGCTGATTCCAGTCCAAGGCCAGCTACTACCTGCCAAGACAGAAAAGTGGGAAGTCCAACCCCCCCGACCAGCTGTGAGAAAGGAAAGTTGTTAAACAAAATGCAGAGGCTGGGAAGAGGAGCAAAATGGCAAAGGCCAGCCAGGAACAAACAGAACTGTCTCACGGCCCTGAAACCGGGTGTTTTGGGAAAGGGAAAGAGACCAGAAAAAGCCGGTTTGGACTAACACAAAGAGGACCAGGAACAGAGGTAATGAAATGGAAAACCCACAAAGGAGCCCAGGACTTAAAACCCTCCTAAGAGCTGGATCAACTCGGAGAGCATAGCAGATCCTTGGACGGCCTGAGCCCAGGACAGTACTCCTATCCACCTTCCCCCCATTCCCCCCACTTCTTCTGACGTTACATTCAGACTTGGCCAGTGTGGGTCGTGCGTGTGTGAGTATGAAAGTGGGTTAGGGCTTGGGGCATTAATGCTTTCTTTCTTCCCCTGAGTGACATGGGCATGTTCCCAACACTCTCTGCTGTTATTTTATTATTTTATTAATAAAGCTTTAAAATTTAAACACTTGGTGTGAGTTGTCATCTCCTCCCCAAAAAGATCCTGTGGCCCCAGCCTGATCAACTGTGGCCCCAGGCAGATTGGTAGCAAAAATCTGTCACAAGAACACCCTCCTCTTCCCTGTTGCTCACTGGGACGGATCCCAGCTAGATGGGAGGGGAAAGCTGCTCTGGAGAAGGCTGGGAAACACTGGCATAAGGCAAATATAGTCAATCAAATACTGGAGCAGACCCTGCTGCAGAAAAGCTGCAGTGGGCATGGTCGTTCAAGGGCAAGGAGGACCGGCTGAGAGGAAGCACTGTCTATTTGTGAGAGCATGGGACTGGGAGTTGGACTCCAGGATTCTTTTCCCAGCTCTTCCACTGACTTGAGGGGTGACCCTTGGCAATTCACTTTACTTCTCTGTGCCTTGTTTAACAGGTGGGGATAAAACTACTTCCTTGCCTGGCAGGAAGGCTTGAGATTTAATTCATGTCTGTGACAGTGTGTTGAGTTATGGAAGTACTACGTGTCCCATGTGTGTAGGTAGCTGTGTGCAAGGACGGGTGGGTAGGAGCGGGAGCAGGCCAAGGTCTATTCATGGGAGGGAGGGTGTAGACCCTGGTAAGTGTATATGTGTGTACCCAAGTACATGTGTGAGTGTGTGTGCGGGTGAGTGGGTGTCTAAGTGTGTAGGTGCAAGTGGGAGATGCATATGGAGGCACATGAGTGTGGGTGGTGCATGGGTGTCTGTGGGTGGGGTGGGTGCTGGGGGGAGTGTAAGCGAGTCTGCCTAGGGACAGGAGTGTCACTCTACAGGGCAATGAGCACGTGTGCTAGCCTGGGCATTGGCACACACTTCTCCTAAGCCCAAGGCATCAGTTTCTGATCCTAGCCAGCTCCACCAGCTGCAAAACAACTCGGGCAGCACTTGTCTTTAGTCCTGTGCCTCCCTCCCTCTGGGAACCCAAGGGCTCCTAGCCACTGTGAGCTACCTGGCCCGGGATCTGGGGCCTACCCATGAAGGCTCCAGTTCCCAAGCCAGAGCTAGAGATGCTGTCTGGGGAGCTTTTTTATCATGCAGCCTACAATGGTGCATCAAGTGTTGTTCACTTCTAAGTGGGGTGTGTTAACCTGCAGTAAGCCCAGGCCCTCCCCTCCCACTGCTCTCCTTTGGTTGGCATATCTGCCTTGCAGAGCGGGTGCTAACTGCCTCAGGTCCTCAGCCAGCAGGACTCTTCCTGGAAGTTGTGGAGACACATCCCTGCCCATCGCATGCAGATAGCGCCGGGCCTCGCTGGGACGCGCAGGTCAGCCTGGAGAGGAGATTGCAAGGTGAAAGGAGACTTTTGTCAAAACTGCATTAAATGTCTCTCTCCAATTCTGTGGCTCTTTTCCAGGGCTAAAAATATCCTGCTGTTTATATGGGAGCAAAGCGTGAGCCGCATGCAGGCACTGGGAAGCAGAGCTGCTTATACTAGCTTGTTGCCCCGCTCAGGGGAGGAGGGTCTGAGAAGGAAACCAAACCTGGGCAGGATCCAAGCGAGAGCTCAAGACTTGGATGCCCTCCACAGGCTACAGTCAGGACATGGCTCTTTGCTACTGAGCAGTTCTTGCTCTGCCTGGCTGCCTCTTCCTCTGTCGTGCAGCTCCCCTCTGTTCCCGGAAGGTCTTCGGTGGGCCCTGACACACTGCTTCCCATCCTGGTGAGGACCACACTCCCTGCAGAGGTATGGCTGAGCCTGGATCCCTGACATCACACACCAGGGCTGTTTCAGACATTGCTGACAAACCTGCTGCTGTGGGGGACCCTGGTTCTGGGTGCCCCATCCTTCCAGTGGCAGGTGGAGATGCTGGGGTGATGTTTATTGCTCATACTCCAGTACCATGTGGGGTGGTATGAGCTTCTTTGTGCTGACAGAGGCCTGGGGGTAGCCTGAGTCCACCGAGGGAATTGGGGCATCTCTCCTATTTATCACAGCCCTGGGGCACCTCCCAGATTCCCCCTCCTCCCCACACCTTCCTCCTGTTTAGCAGGAAATGTCCACGTGCCATTCCCCTACCTCACCACACGAGCAAGTTCTAGTTCTGGACACATCCCCTCCTCCACCCACCCTGGCTTGCTGGGCCTGAATTCCCCTGTAGCTGGCATGGCATAGGAGTCTGGGGCACATTGAGGGGACACCAGGACCATTCTGACATGGGAGCATCTTCTCTCCCCTTTGCCCAGTTACAGATGATTCCACCGGGTACAAGGTGATGGAGAACCAGGGGCCCCGGTGCCTTCCTCTGGTGTGATGTGCCATGTGGAAAGCCCTAGTGGTTTGGTCCTATGCCACGCCCCCCTTCCCTTCTAGTGTAAGGACAGTCTCACCCTGTGTTTTTAATGAGAGCAGTTTGTCATGCCTAGGCTGCGGGATGAATAATTCAGCAATGGCAACCCATGCAATGTTATTCTTTCAGCAAAAAGTCCACAGACTGTGAGGATAAGCAGCGAACAACGGCATCTGATTAGGGGAGGGAGAGAGACAGCGAGTGCATGCCGCAGCACCAGCAGCTTTCAAAGGGAGCCTCTTAAAGCCCCTTCTCCAGTCGGGAATCCGAAGCTCCAGTCGCCACCTCTACTGGTGCAAATCCCCAGTAATCCTTCACCTATTGCTTTGTCCAGAGGGAATCTTTTATAATTGATGCCTTTTATTCTCGATAACCCTGTTTTAATTTGCTGATTGCTGCAGTATGTTCGCTTTCGGTTGCGGTCTTTTAAAAGATTAAGAGCAGGGAGGGTGTTGGGGGCTCACTTTGGGCGCCTCATTTTCGATGAGCGGAATGCCAGGAACAAAAAGCAAAACCCCCCTCGGGAAGTGATTTTCCCGGTTTGCACAGTCCTTGGCCCTACACCTGCTGTACTGGAGCACCAGGTTTTGCCCAAAGAGCTGCTGCCCTGCTGGAGAAAACTCCCAGGCAGAGGTGGATCCAGCCCCATCTCACATTACGGTTCCTGATTCTCCTTGATAATTACCAAAGCTCTCCAGGCCCTGGCCCCACCCGCCTGGCCTGGCACACCCAGAGCTCCTGCTGAATCCAGTTTAGGCTTCAGGGTGGGGAGGAATGCAGGATTAGTCTCTGGTTTTTTTACTGTGGACTTCCTCCCTCTCCCCCTCCCTGTCACATGCCAAATACGAACCCTGGCTAGCAATGACAGAGAGGACCTCTAGGACCTGCAAAGGCCGTGGCCAAGGGAGACTAGACTGGTGGGATTCACGCTGCATGGGATAGGCCTAGATTTTACAGAGGCCGTGAGAGGTGAGGGGACCATTGCTGCACACAGGCAAGCTGCATATGGGCCAGGGTGGAAGCTGCATTGCAGTGTGGAAAATGTGGAGGCAGTGTTCAGTGTAGGGGCCACCTGCTGCTGTTGGCTCTCCCCAAGGCACAGAAACCCAGAGGACAGTACAGCTGTGAAACAATCAGTCACGCTTGAGCCTGTGCTTACTCACCATTTTGGGGCTCCCGTGGGTTATATGTGCTCGCTTTGGGACAGGCCAATTATGCTATTGTGTAGACTATGCTTGCCCTTAAGTACGGGGGAATCATTGCTCTGTCTTGTGTGAACAATGCTGCTTCTGTTAAGTGTTGCATTTTGCCTTTACAGATGCAACCTTGAGATCTCAGCCGTCCATGTTATCACCAGCCAAAAGACTCCAAAGAGGCCACATAAAAGCAAGGAAGACATGTTTCATGAAGTCATGCAGCATTCAAGTAATGAACATTGAAAAGTGCAGGAGTGGCGGGACAGCGAAAGGAGGATCCGCTAGCAGACTGAGGAGCACCGGCACCAAAGCGTGGTGCTCCGGCAGCAAAGCACGGATTGGCTGATAAGCATGATGGAACGCCAAGCGGACTCTTTCCAGGCCTTCGTAGCCATGCAGGCAGAGCACTACTGCCCCCGTCCTCCTCCCCGCAGCCCTTGACCCCAAACGCTTTCCCTTGTGCCCCCATGTCACCTCCAACCCACTTTCCCCAACATCCGGGTTCTCACTGCCACCAGCTGCCTCCAACACTTGTAGCTTCACCATCCAGCCCTGAAAACTACGGCCCTTACCCACTGCACTCAACCCCCATCACCATGCAGTATAGCCATCCTGAAGTGCAGCACTCATTGCACAGCACTCCAGACAGGAAGGCTGAGTACGGTAACAGGACATACGCAAATCTGTGATTGTACCGTTCCCCACCCTGCCCCCAATGCCGCTGCAAGTGCCGCAAATGTGGCCATGCCAGTGCATTTGCAGCTGTCAGTGTGGACAGCCTGCAGCGCTTTCCCTACTGCACTCTCCGAAGGCAGGTTTAACTCAAAGCGCTCTACATCTGCAAACGTAGCCATGCCCTGAGGAATTGCCCAATAATCTCATAAACCATTACCAAGCCAGGAGAGGTTACTCCTACTCCCCGACCTCGTATAATATTGATTCAGGTCTTTTGGATGCTGGCTTCTTACCCGCAGTTCATCCACCTAAGCCCTGGAACATGAATCTGTGGCAGACACAGTTTACTGACCCTGGAAATCAATCCATTACAGTGTATTTCAAAAGAAGACAATCAAATACGTTTTCTTTAAAAGTCTTTATAGCCAGTTGCAGCCATGAAATAGTACAGCTGTATGGTATTGAACTTGCATTTTTGGCATAAGGTCAATTTATGCCATGCTCTAACCTGGTTCCCTATCTATATATCTTTGTCTATATATACACATACACAATGATGTCTCCCCTCGTTGGAGTTAATCCACCTCACTGAGAGGTGGTATCTAGGTTGACAGACAGGAGAATTTATCTGTCAACCTAGCGCTGTCTGCACCATGGGTTAGGTTGGCATAGCTCCGTCTCTCAGGGATGTGGATTTTTCACATCCCTGAGAGACACAGATATGCCAATGTGAGTTTTCAGTGGAGACCAGTGTGACATTATCTGATTAAAATATGACCATATAGATGCATGGAGTGAAAATTACAGAAACAGGCATAGATAGAAATCTATGCCTGTATCTGTAATTTTCACTCTATGCATCTGAAGAAGTGGTTTTTTTACCCACAAAAGCTTATGCCCAAATAAATCTGCTAGTCTTTAAGGTGCCACCAGACTCCTCGTTGTTACTATCTATAGGCATGCATATATCTGGACATCCATTTGTGTACAAGCAGCTGAACTCCTGCACTTGTGTGAAGGCTTGGACAAATGCAACCACATGCCTTTCTGAGTCCTGGGGCTTAAAAATCTTGTTTGTAGTGATCTGTGGGGGAGAACATGGTACTGACTGCACTCATCATAAAGTAAATTGTATCTGGATCACATTTGCAGATGACAGCAAACTGGGAGGAACTGCAAATGGAATAAAGGATAGAGCACCATTATGGGATGATCCTGTGATCCTAGTGAGATGGGCACACTGAAAGGGGAGATTTAATTTAGATAAGTGTTGAATAAAACACTTGGGGCCAAAAGCTAAGGCCAGCACAGATGCAAAATGGAAGAGAGCGCTCCTCTCCTCAGGGATGTGCTGACCCCTGGCTAGCTGCAGATCTCACCTTCCCCTCTCTCATTAGTCACCCGGCTTTGCAACCCTCCCATAGCCACCCCCAAATTGCCCCAACATAGCTGCTTCCCATCTCCTTGGCCTGTTTCCTTGCCCTCATCACATGCCTCCACTCTGATGCCCTGTTGCTTCTCTGACCCCCATGGAAGCTGATCCTGGCCCAAAGGGTAGGCCAGAGTGGCACCATGCAGACAGGTTGTGTGGGGAGTCCCTGCAGGGAAGAGAGAGAGTATTTGTCAGTGGAGGAGAGATGGAACTTGTGGCAGGCAAGGCACTCCTTCCTGCTGCTGGGGACTCCCTTGAGCCCCCAGACTAGCATCCCTGACCTGACCGTATCCTAAGAGTTGATGAGCAGAATGCAATTGAGGATTTGGGGCTGTGAGAGGGTATCACGTGGGCTGAGACCTCACAATGTCAGCCAGCTGCTCAAGAAGCAAATGTTGTTGTGGGCTGTGTGGCATGTACAGAGTTATTGGTATAAACTACATGAGCTGATAACAGCCCCTCAACAAAGCAGTAGTATGGGGACCACAGTGGGAGAGCTGCAGAGGGGGTCAGACATATCGTTGTGAAATGGACCTTGAGAAATTGGAGAGAATCCAAAGAAGAGTGACAAAGAGGATTAAAGCATTAGAAGGAGATGGGGCCTCTGAGGAGGTGGGCAAGGAAGCCAATGGCCCGAGAATGCAGGGGAATGTGCTCACATTGGAGATAACTCTTGAAATATGTATGGATAAAGAGGAGGTGGGATTGTTTACAGAGGCTGAGATGACAGAGCAAGGCAACGAGACTAGCACCTGTACATGGTAACCTGTAGGCCGGGCATTAGAGGGAATTTCTTAACCGGGACAACAATTAGCTTCTGGAATAGTCTGTCCCTGGAGAGGCTGAGGGTAATCACGAGGTGCCATCAAGGGGTACAGGTCAGTGAGAAGTGTTGTCCTACTGCAAGGAGATGAGTCATACTAGAACTAGAGCCTGATTAAGCTGCATGTGGTGATGAGTCAATCCCGTGCTAGGCCATGCACAAGCCAAGAGCTTGTGGGGTGATTCTCGGGCAGGTATATAAGCTTCACATGAGAAACGGCAGCTCAGTCACTTCAGGGCTTGGAACCCTCCCCTGCCTGATAATAGTGACAGACTCCACAGGCCTCAACCTGCTCCAGCCCTGTTCCCAGCCTTACTCTTGCCTTCTTCCAACCTGGCTCTGGACTCCTGATTCTGGCTCCAAGCCCTAGACTTGACAGCCGCTGCTCTGGTCCATAGGCCTGGCCATTCCTGTCACTGTTTCTGACATGACATCTATGTCCTTATGACTGGGCTCATCCTCTTTGTGGGGGTTGAGGAAAGGCCCATGGAGCAGTGCCTGGGGGAAAGCCCCCAGTGGTGTGAGGGAGGAGCACTGCTGTTGTGTTACTTGTGGTGAATTCGGTAGGCACCCACTGTTGCTGGTTGCAATGAAAGTCACCAAAGAGCAGCCTTGAAAGGATGGTGAGGACAGGACTGACCACGGTGTGGGAGTTGGAAGGAGCCGGGCAATGGCTCTGCCCCAGCTCGCTAGGCTCCAGTATCTGTAGCATTTTCCATTCCCGTCCCATACCCAGAGCCATGCCCACCAGCCTCCTCAAACCACTCCACTGGTTCCTCATTCATTTTAGTATCCAGTTCAAACTCACTCTGTTTCTTCTTAAGCCCCACTGTGGACCTGCTCCGGCCTGCTTATTGGACAATCTCTCCCCAGGCTCTTCCCACAACCGCTCTAGTGCTGGCATGAGAGCCTTTTCTTCTGTAGCTCCTGTCCTCTGGCGCAGTTATGGCCATGTCGCTGCCTTATCTGCTCTCCAGGTAGTTCCACACATCTCATCTGATGGCGTAGCTTGTCTCCCTCACCTCTACTTCTCTGGGTCTCTGCTGCCATTATTTACTCTCTACAGTGTTTTGGGGGTGAATAAAATTAAGCAGTTCTGAACTGTGCCCACTTTGCTTATAAAAGAGTTAGAGACCTGCAGTCCATCTGGATCCTGGCACTGAATGTCAGCCCTTGTGTCTGATCTGAGACAGAGCTCCGAGGGGAAGCCTTATGTAAAGCGTTAGGCTATTCCTACACTGCACTTTCGTCGGTAACACTTTTGTCTGTCAGGGGTGTGAAAAAAATACACCCCTGCCCGACGAAAGTTTTACCAATGAAAAGCGCCGGTGTGGACAGCGCTTTGTTGGAAGAGATGCTCTCCCGCTGACAGAGCTACCGCAGCTCACTGGGGTGGTTTTGTTTCGTCAGCAGAAGAGCTCTCTTCTGCCGACAAAGAGCGGCTACACTGCACACTTTACAATGGTACTGCTATAGCAGCACAGCTGTGTCGCTGTAAGGTGTGCAGTGTAGACATCGGCTGAGATCAGACATGATTTAAATGTATCCTCCCAACATGCCGAGAGAGAGTGAGCACGGGTGAGGACGCTGCGCATGGCACTGGGGGGTGCAGAGCACCGGGCACACTATTAATCTGAAGATGCGAAAGTAAGACAGTAATACCTCTTGTATCACCTTTCCATGCCATGTTATGCCAAGGGGATGCTTCACTTTTAGTGCATGTCCTTCTCTTTCATTTGATGTGAAGGACCCCCTGCTTTGGAGGGTTCAGGTGCAGGGTTCAGGGAGGACGCTGCACCCCATAAGGCCAAATGCACTGCTGGCATCAACAAATGTAGTGGCATTGGCTACAGATGAGTTGCACCCACTTGTTCCAGTGTGGAGTTTGGCCCTAAGACTTGGGCAGTGGGTGCTGACACTTGTGGAATGTCCGTGGGGATGGTGGGACGACGTTCTAGTATGATCATGATGAGCGTGAGGCTGGAGAGCTCAGTATGGAAGCTATGACATTCTGGGATAGTCACACTGGGCTGGCAGGCTGGTGAGGCATCAGTGGGGAGGATGGGACACTCTGGGATAGTCCCACTGAGCCTACAACCCAATGAGAGGGTGGCTGGGTGGATGGGACATTCTAGGATAAGACGGAGGCTGAAGCCCCATGTGGGATCTTCAGAGTAAGGGTACTAGTCTCAAGAACAACTGACAGGGCGGCTCAGGGCAGGTGCCCCCAAGATGCTTGCATGCCTCTATGGAAGGGGTGCTCTCTTATTTTAGTTCTGTCTCGCTAACTGCCTCAAGTGTTTCCAACCAGTTTTGGGGGAGCCCATTATACTGCGATCCAAACGTGTTCTCTTGGCGGATGTGTCTGCAGAAATGAGGCCAGTCGGGCTAGCACTTAATTGTGTCTGATCTAGGAGAACTCTAGCCATGGCTTCAGCCTCCCTCATTACCTCTCCTGCCTGTCTGAGTTTAGTGCCTGTAAACAAAGGTGAGAAACTGCTCTAAAAATCAATGCGTCGGCTGATGCCAACCTAGAGAAATGGCTCAGTCTGCAGAGTCTGCATAGAGCTGTGGAAGAGAGGAACTAATGCTGACTTCCCCCATCCCTCTCCCTCTTCCTCCTTTAGAGTATCTTCGCCCCCTTTAATTCTCCCAGGACTGCAAACTTTCTAGGCAGTCGCAGCAGCTTCAACGTGGCTCAGATAACAACAAGATGGAAGGCTGGGGGTCTTCAGGCCTGCTGGTTGCCATGGTGATTAGTAGACCCAGTGAGGATTAAGGAGCTAGGAGCATGAGGTTTTTCTGTTGGTTTTGATGAGTTCTATTTGTTTTTCTTCTCCCCACCCCAAGCCCCGATGGTCTCAAAGCACTAAAGCAGAAGGAGATTACTAGAAGCGAAATATGCTGTAGCATTGCCTGCATTAAATACAGGCTGTCCTGCTGAGGCTAATTGGAATGTACTTTTTTTTTTGCCAGAGAGTCCTGGAACGGACAAGTTTAGAAAATGAGGCATTACGTGCTTTTGGCATCAGGAAATGAGAGAATGAAGGAATCAAAAATCAGATCCCAGACTACTTAACGTTCCCCCTTCCCACTCCTCCCACCCTTCACTTCCCCTGCCTTGCGTTCACAAAGCAGAGGAGATGAAGGATTAGTTTAATTAGGTAGCAAATGCTCCTCCAGTGCTCAGAGATGCAAATAATGACAGTGCAGGAAGCGGATGACTCTTGGAAGGGAGATCTCCGCTCATGCCAGCTCTGGGAGTGCAGGCACGGGGTCATCCAGCTAACAGCAGTGTGCGGTGTACTGATCTATCACATGTCTAATGAACCCACCACTGCAGTATCCAGGTGCTATACAACCCAATCAAGCTGCTCCCACCTTTCTCCATCATTAGATCTCATTTTGGGCCAAGTTGCTAGAGGAAACAATGGCAACTCCTGCCATTGGAGACTTTGCCACCACTGAAGCAGCAGAACCTAAGGAGCGCCCCAACTCGGAAACAGTCTGTCACCCCGTTTCCTCATGTGCTGAGTCAGGGCGGATACAACCTCCCCTCTTCTTCATCAGGTGTTTCGTTGATGTTACATTCCCATTCATCCTACTAGAATTAAGGGGTTGGCAACCTTCCTGTGGTTGACCCTTTCATGGTTCTGTTCTTTTGTCCACAAA